TACATCCTATTTTGTTTTCAGTGCTGGGGTTTATAAATCATTATTAAATTTTTAGTGTGTGATTAGCATTTTTGTTGTTGGTAAAATTTTTAATAATACCTTTGACATTTGTTTTTACCTGAGATGTAGAAACCATATGTTTTGGTCATCGTGTTCATCTTATGTTTACTGATCTTGTGAAATTTATTAGTATTCACAAATGTTCTTTTGAACATTTAATTGGACTTTCAACTTGCATATTCTGCCAATGAATGTTAAGACCTTTGATTTCACATATTTCAATTCTTATGTTTCTAATCTCTTCATATTGTCTTCTTGCACTGATTAGTATTTCCAAAATACCATATTTGTGAATACACATAATATGTATATATTTCCCTTCCTTCCTTATTTCTTTGCTTCTTTCCGTCATCCCAGTTGTTCTTTCCTATTAAGCCATTTCTTTCCCTTCCACAGAATCTATTGTAACTTTCAGTTTTATTTACTCTTTCGGGTTCTTACACTAGGGAGACAATATGGTGTTTACAATGAGGGTCCGATTTATTTCACTTATGAGTATGGTGTGTAGTTGCACCCATTTTCCTATAAAAGTCTTGAATTTATCTTTCTTTATATCTGAGTAATATTCCATTGGATAAAAGTACCCCATTTTTCTTATCCACTCCTCAGTTGGTAGGCATTTTGGGTGTTTCCAAAATTTTACTATGACAAATTGTGCTGCTCTGAACATGAGTGCACGTATATTACTGTGGTGTTATGTTTTTAATTCATCTGAGAAAATACACAGAAGGGGAATGGATGAGATCAGTGAGCCCTCTAATCCTAGTTTTCTGAGGAATCTCCAGACTGATTTCCAAAGTGGTTGCACCAGTAAATTGCCAGCAACAATCTAGAAGTGTTCCTTTTGATAGATTTTTTATATTAAAATAATACTGGCCACATTAAATTGAGAAACATTTCCTAATGTGGGTGTATTTTTATTTCCATCTTTCAGGGATCACTTTGAGATGCTGAGTAATTTTGGTTAAGTACAGGTATTATAAATGAAAAATGTAAAATATCAGACCAGACGATGGCTATCTTCTACCAGAAAGGACTTCCTTTACCATGGAAATCAGACTGATGTCATACTTCTAGCTGTGATTCAGAACTACATACTGAACACAGGGGGATATTTGATAGTGACATTAAATTTGCATTCTCTTCCCAAGTCTGGAATACTGAGATCAATTTTTGTCTTCACAAATTTCCAACACTCAATTTTTCTGCATCTTAGAGTGAAATATTTCAAGTTCAGAAAGAAAACATGCTCTAACTCAGATTTCTGTACCCTTCAAAACTATCTTTCAAAATCAATGGAGAAATAAGATACTTCCATGCCAAGTACTCTAGTTGCTATAATACAACCTACCTATTCCACTTGAGTTCGGGGCATAAAATTGTTAGAATAAAAATAATATCTCTAAAAGTTGTATTTTCATCTTTAAAAAAACCAAGATAATTAAGGTTTCACATACTAAAGTTATCTCATAGAGATGATGGAAATCACATTTTCCACCAGTCAGGGTCTTATTCTACTGATGAAAACTTTGGTATAAGGGTGAGGACATTGGTGTACATTGTTTTCAACAAAGGACGCACTAAGAACAAGACTTTTACATTTTAATGTTTGTGTCTGTGGGTGATATTAATGAAACTCGTTATGTCTTTATCCTTAAATAATTGAACATAGACTGAGGAATCAGATAGAGAGCAGCAGTCTCCCAGATCCAATAATCAGCTGTAAGCACCAGTTTGAGTGAGTATTGCATCTGCTGATTTCAAACCCATTCATCCCTCTGCTTCTTGGCTCATATTGTGACTGGGCTTTTTGGAGTCTACATAACTAGAATAACCCATTATTTCCTCTCTGCATGGAATAGCCTAGTACAGAAATAAGCAGTAGTGTCAGACTGATTCTAGATGCTTAAAAAACAGATAAATTATTTCTTTCACCACAGGCTGGAGCCACTAATCTCAGTGGAGATAACGGTCTAAGACACATGTAGACAATTTCTGTAATTTGTCTTATAAACCATTTGTCACACTGTAGACATGAGAATTTTGCTGCCACTTGTGAACTCTGTCGTTGTGGTACGGCCAGAGAGTGTGCAAATGAATGGGAAAATCATGTTCAATGTTTATAGTATATGAAGGTTAACATTTTTAACTTTTAAATACCAATAATGTTCTTCTTCTTTTTATTACACTTTTCACTTTAAACATGCTATATCAAACAGGTGCCAGGCTTGCTTAAAGCAGGAAGAAGAGGTCCCTGTCAATTGTAGCTTTCTGCAGTGATGTATACTTTTTGGCCTGTAACACTATCTGAAGAGAATTTGGCAGCACCAGATCCCAAAGATTTACCCATATCTTGTCATGAGCTTTATGATTTTAGCTTTTATGTTTAGATCATCCCAAATTTTGACAACTATTATTTATTATGTGGAGGCACTGTGATACTCATTCATTCTGAACAATTCTACGGGTTTTGAAATACTTTCTGAGTGCCTGCTTGTGAACTGAAAGGCCCGGGTTGAATTCCCAGTACAAAAAAGAACAAAAAAAAAACTTTCTGAAAATATGCCTATTTTCTACCTTATGGATCTTTCTTATAAATTACCTCTTTAAAAATATTCAAGAGTAGAGTTTTTAAAGCAGAATTACAAACCACCTCGATGACAGTGTAGGAGATTAAATGTTTTCTTACTTTTCCATTAAGAAAATTTGGATCTAAATAGGTGGAAGTGTGTGTATGAGTACTTTACCTTGTGACTATTTTTGTTCTTTTTAAGCTTCTGGACATCATCGTATGAACAGGGACTTTCTCTTATTTTGCAATAAAGTAATCATACTCAGGAGTTTTCACTGACACAGTGTTATGATGTTTGTTTAGATGCCTCCCACAGCCTCATGCTGTCATGGGGTGGGCTTCTAGAGCTTTTGATTGATTCATGGTCTAATCCTGGGATTATGGATGTGAGTGCAACATCCACCCTTTGGCGGGTAGCTTGCATACAATATAGGGGAGGGAAAGAAGTTTGCTGTCTATTGCTCCTCCCTTTCTGCCCTTGTTGCTTTTGCTGTTGTCTGCTGCCATGAACTGTTGCCTTCTGCCACGTGCCACTCTGCCATGGAGTCAGTCGAGCACGGACTAAAATCTCCACAAACTGTGAGCTAAATAATCCTTTCTTTCCTTAATTTTGGATTTCAAGTATTTTGTCTCCGCATTGAGAGAAAAGAAACGAAGGCACAGTAATGTTATAGAATATATATCATATATGTAAATGTTTCTGATATTTCTAGAATAATCCTAGCAGTTTTTTCGTTTGCAATGCAATATCCATTGGAAAGAAAACCAGAGAAATATAGTGGTTATCTTGTCCCATTAGACTCTTCTATCAAGAATGGTCCCCTGAAATTTTTCCTTACACTTTGCTAACCTCAGTGCACAACCCAGGCTAGAAATCATGTGAACTCTTCCTCAGTCTGGATTGTGTGTTATTATTTTATAGAGATGTAATTTCAGTTATCATATTGACAGGAAAAGTACAGCGCTGCTGACTACATAGTATTGAAACATATTGGTGTTTTGGACACACTAGCATCATTTAATGCTAATATTGGTTACGTTGACTTCTCCCGGTTGTGAAGGGACATCTCCTTTGCAGAGTTTGTGTCTTATATGTGATTAGTAAAAAACTATGGTAGAATATTTTAAGATTATGGGAAATAGTTTATCCTAAATTGCTCACCGACCTGCTAACATTAGTCTATGACCCTTCAAATGCCTCCTTTATATTTCTTTATGGAAGAATAGTGCTCCATGGTGTTTAAATGCCATATATTTTTATCCATTCATCTGTTGATGGACATATGGGCTACTTCCAAGATTTAGCTATTTTGAATTATACTGTTATAAACATGGGTATGCTTATGTTTTTGTAATATGATGCCTTTAACTCTTTGTGGAAGATATATAGAAGGGGGATAGGTAAGTTAAATGCAATTTCTACTTTTAATTCTTTGAGAAAAATTCCTTACTCATTTGCATATGGTTGTACTAGTTTATATTCCTATTACTAATATAGAAAGTTTCCTTAATTCCTGCAGGAAAACTAGCATTCTTTATTCTTTGATTTCTTAGGGCATCTATTTTTTTTTCAGTACCGGGAATTGAACTCATGACCTTGCGCTTGCCAGGCAAGTGCTGTGCCGCTGAGCTAAATCCCCAGCCCCTATTCTTTGATTTCGTGATGATTGCCAATCCTTCCCATATAAGAAGAAATATTAGTGTTATTTTAATTTGCATTTCTCTAATGGCTTTAAATATTGAACAATTTTCATGTTGTTTTTTTTGTCATTTGTACTTCTGACCATATTTATTCACTTCACTTGCTCATTTTTTAATTGTGTCTTTTATTTTGGCTGTTCTCATTTTCTGAGTGCTTTATATATTCTAGGTTTTAGTGTTCTGTCAGAAGAATAGCTGGCAAAATTTTGTTTCCATTCTATAGGTTGCCTCTTCATTCCATTAATTACAGATGCATATCTAAAAAGTGCTATGAACAGATATTCTGGATATTTCACATTAGAAGAAAGGCTTCCATTTGTAATGACAATTCACATGAGATATGAATTCTAAAGTGATGAACTAGAGAAGCAACTAGTGATAGACACCAGTGTCCAAGCTGGGTGATGAAAAAGAAGAAAACTTCAGAATTCATAACCCCAAATACCCAACTACTCAGATTGTCAACTTCTATTTGAGGAAATTTTAGCAAGATTACTGTCCTCAAAGTATTTCCTGTTTGTCACATCATTTGGCTGGAAATAATACTGATTTTTTGGGACATACTTTCCTCGTTATATATCAAAAGAGTTAGCTATGTGATTTTCTTTGTATTTTTCAGCTGTATTACTTCTATATAACATATTTGGACTCTGTGTGTTGTTTCCAGGGCACAACCGTATTGATATCCTTGACATCTGTGCTACGTGATGAAAAAGAATTTCCCAGACCAGAGACTTTTGACCCTGGCCACTTTCTAGATGACAGTGGCCAGTTTAAGAAAAGCAACTACTTCATGCCTTTCTCAATAGGTAATAGAAATTTATTTCTCTATGTACAGCAAGAGACATATTATTTTGAGATCAGCTGGAATGGTGCCTCCTTTTTTCTGACCAAATATCTGTTTGTACATGATTGAAAGCCTCACTTCCAATACCCAACTTCTATTCTGCTCATGACATATTGCCATTGTTTGGTGGGCTTTAGAGTTCTTTTTTCACTGTCTTGCACATTACAAAAGCTAGAGTATAAGTTATTTGTATTCTACCCTATTTACGTGATGTAGGTACCCTCATCTCTTCCAAGAAAGCAAAATTATATTAAAGTTCCTTCACCCCCCATGACAAAAGTGAACTAACTCTCCAGTGTGTTTGTCTTCTATGTTATGTTGTTGTCCACCTACTAGAACAAGTGATGGATATAATTTCTCCCAAAGAACACAGTAGCATTTGAAGCCACATTCATTTAGGGAAGAAGATAAGTAAGGAGTTCATTGTAATATTAGTGCTGTGAGATTATTAAGCACAGATTGTTGGAAGAGTGCTTATGGGAGAGAAGCTGCAATCCTCCTGTACCCACTATCTTAGTGTGAGGCATAAAATCAAAGAAGCAATATGCTAGTAGCCTAAATTATTATTTGAACTGCATCAAAAGAAGAAATAGGAAAAGTAGTGCATTTTAAAGGAAGCAATTATGCAGAGGAAAATAATAGTTGCTCTTACTTAAGAACGTCAAATTTGACAACAAATAACCGAGGAGATCATGAAAGCTTTGTGGATGCATCTTTTTTTTATTCCCCTACAACAATACCAGAGCCCTGCTCTTCCTCCAGTCATTACCCTGACTCTTGATTAGTGGATCTTCCCCATACAGACTATGTGCTAATATCCCTGCATTTATTCTGTGTTGTCTGGTGTTTTCTGTGTCCTTTGATGTTTTCTTTATATCTAGCACTGTGGATCCCACAAATATAAAATGAATTCTTTTCAGAAATTCATATTTCAACGCAATGCAATATAACAATAAAAATAAGTATAAATTTATGATTTCAGGTGACCTAGAGTTCAATGAATGTGAATATATTGTTGAGGAAATGCAGAGAAATAGGATTTTATTTCATGAGGTTCTTAAAAAAGAAGGTCAAAAGGAAAAGAAATTTGACCTTTTTCTGACATATGGGAAGGTTCACAGTAGTTTAAACTAATCCACGATATAAACTGGAAACTTCCTGGCAAGGTGCAGCTTTATGAAAGCCTGTGCATCTCCCGCTGTGAATACAGTGTGTCTTGAGGTGGTCAATGCAAATGTTACAAAGTGACAGAGTGCAAAATTATCATGGATCATTAGATCAGAAGCAGGGTGCACAGGACAAGATGATGTTTCTCTAGGAAAACAAAATTAGAAACTTGAAATCTCAGGAAAATTTATGACAGGAATATTTAGTAAAGTGTGGGTATGAAGCTAGTACTCAATGCATATTTTTGAATTTATGCACTATTGCATTAATTTCATACGTTATATGGGTTGCTTATCTGTTTTCCATTTACATATCTAGCTGTCAATCTATCCATACACTTATCTAGGTATCTAATCATCTATCCATTCATCCTTCTGTCCTTGGTTTTTACAGCAACGGTTACATATGGGGAATAACCACACTATTTTTTTCTATTTTCAGGAAAACGTATTTGTGCAGGAGAGGCCCTTGCCCGCATGGAGCTGTTTTTGTTCCTGACTACCATTTTACAAAACTTTAATCTGAAATCTGTGGTTGATCCAAAGAATCTTGATGCCACTGCAACTGTCAATGGACTGGTTTCTGTCCTGCCCTCCTACCAAGCCTGCTTCATTCCTGTCTGAAGAAGAGCAGAATGCCTGGCTGCTGCTCTGCTGTCATCTGATATCTCCTTCTCTGCATCATAAGCTACCTTCATCCATTAGAAATGGCTTCACTGATATCTCCTTTCCATCTACCCATTCAGTCAAAATCCAGGGAAGACTCAAAGTTCATTATGAAGAGTTCTGTGATTGTACCAGAATGCATGCTATTTCCTATATTCTGTAATACTTGCATAAAACTTATCTAATGCTGAACTGCTGATACATTATCTTTGTTAAAAACTAAAAGGGGTTCATGACTGAGGCCCATGTGCCCTCTATTAACTAGCTGGGGACCTTGGACTGGCAACCCATGTCCTGCCAACATTGTGGTTCATGGCTGAGGCCCAGAAGAGACTCTTTTAACTGCCTGAGGACCCTGGTCCTGGTACCCCACACTCTATGGAGAGTGTGGTTGGTGGCTAAGGCCTGGGTGCCCTCGATCAGTTGTCTGGGGAGCTTGGACCAGTATCCTACACTCTTCCAACATTGTGGTTCATGGCTGAGGCCCAGGCAGTCTCAGTCAACCAACTGGGGAGCTTCAACATATGGCCCACACTCAGCTGGACTGTGGTTCTTGGCTGAGGCCCAGAATACACAGAATACATTTCACTAACTGCCTGAGCACTCTGATTCCAGAACCCCTCCTTCTGTTGACGTTGTGGTTCATGGATGAGGCCCTTATGCCCTCAATCAATTGCCTGGAGAACTTGGAGTGGCAGCCCACATTCCACCAACATTGTGGTTCATGGTTGAGGCCTGCATCCCTTCAGTCAACTGCCTGCGAACCTTAGTCCCAAAGGCCAGTGTTCCTTCTGAAATTGTGGTTTTCATCTGAGTTGTGCACTCCATAATGGCCTGGGGATCCCAAACCTGATAGAAAGACTGCCACTGCCATCAGGGAGCAAGCCTGACATCCAGCAAATCTAGGGACCCTAGAGGCCTTCAGTGGGATGCCCAGGATGAGTGAGGCTTGCCATTGGGTTTCTGGCATCTAAAATTAAATGATGAAGGAATAAAATGTAATCTCAGAATTCCACCCCACCCAGAACAAGTCCAGGAGACATTGAAATAGGAGAACTAGGAGGTCACACACATGAAATCTCTGAAATGGTCACAATTGAAGTAAAGAAGCAACTCCATCAGACCATAGAAGAAATCAGATCAGAAATAATCTCTCAGATAAATTATGAAATGACAATAATGAAAGAATTTCTCAGCACACCTAAAGAAGATGTATATTAAAAAATAGGTGAACTTAGAAAAATGCAGAACACATTAAATGAATAATATATGAAAGAACTAGAATGCATGAAACAGATTAAAGAGATATCCAGGAAGTCAAAACTTCCATCAAAAGCTCACAAAGCCACTTGAATGAAGCCAAAGATAGACTTTTAGATCTTGAAGACAGCATGGTAGTTAATGATTTCAAAAGGAAAAATCTCATAAAAATAAGAAGAAACCAGGAACTATCAGTTCAACAGCTGCAAGATAATGCAAAGAGAAGAAATGTAAGACTAATACGTGTCAAGGAAACAGCTGGAGTCAACACAAATAACATAAAAATAATATTAGCAGAAATAGCAGAATATTTCCCAAGTATGGAAAAAGAATTTGACATACAATAAGGGAGGCATATAGAACTCCAATTAGCCATAATGAAAATAAAATTACACCCAGTCAGATAATGATCAAGATCCCAGAAATCATGGAAAAGACAGAATGTTAAAAGCTGTTAGAGAAATGAAACAGATCACATGTGAAGGAAAGCCCATCAGAATCATGGCAGATTTCTCAACACAAGCCATCAAATCAAGAAAAGTTGGAGTGAAGTGTTCCAGGTCCTAAACCAAAACAACTTCCAACCCAGACTGATGTATCCTGCAAAACTGTACTTCAGAAAAAAAGGAAAAATAAAATATTTCCATGACAAAGAACAACTGATGAATTTCATGAGCACCAAACAAACCCTCCAAAGAGTAGTAAAAGATATTGTAAAAGATACTGTAAAAAGAGATAAAAATGACCACAATTTCAAGAACAACAATAGAAAGGAATAATATAGCAAAAGAAACAATTAAAAAGAGAGTAAAAGTAGGAAACCAACAGCTGGCAAATAACATAACAATGATAAGCTAACACATAAC